ACCCAAGCCACCGATCAGAGACCAGCAACCTGTGCCAGCCGACGCCGGCATGACTGATCTTCTGGCCAAGATGGTAGCGCTTTTGGAGGCAATGCAGACTCCCAAGACGTCCACTGAGGTTGCTGCAGAAGCCTTAGCACGCGGAATCACGCCGTTCACGCACGCTCCTGAGCAGAACCTTACGTTCGATGTCTGGTTCCAGCGCTACCGATCGACGTTCTTGGAGGACGGCAAGAATCTCACGGATGCGGGGCGAGTGAGGCTTCTCATCAGGCGTCTCGATGCCTCTTCTTATGAGAAATACTCCAGCAATCTTTTGCCGCGCAACCCATCAGATCTCACGTTCGACGAGAGTGTCAAGTGCCTCACCAAACTCTTCGGCAAAGGAGAGTCACTTTTCTGCACGCGCAGAAAGTGCCTGCAACTCGTGATGAGAGACTCCGACGATCTGACGACTCACGCAGGCATCGTCAATCGACACTGCGAGAATTTTCGGCTTACTGAGTGTACATCAGACCACTTTAAGGCGATCATCTTCGTGTTGAGTCTCCAAGGCGACAAATATGTTCTTGTCAGAGAACAGCTACTCACGAAACTTGAGACAGAGCCCTCGACGAACATCACGCTGGATTTTATGCTGGAAGAAGCTAAGCGCCTCCTCAACATAAAGAGCGACTCCAGAGCTGATGCGCCTCTGCCCACAGTGAGTAGCGTGCATAAAAACCCCTTGACTAGAGAGAGGCCGCCACGGCCCTGTTATCAGTGTGGCGCCATGCATTTTATTAGAGATTGCCCATTCTCTAATAAAAAGTGTACTGATTGCGACTCAATTGGTCATAAATCCGGCTATTGTCCACCTCAGACAAGCAATAAAAGTGGACAGAAATCCGGGAACAATGCGCAGAGTAAAAATGCAAAACGTCGCAATACTTCCAAGAAGAGTGGCAAATCAAATGCGCAGCCACGAACAAATGCTGTGTATTCTGCAAAAAGATTTGGGAGGCGATATCTTTCCGCTGGGATCAATGGGCAAATCATCGAGTTCCAATTGGATTGCGCAGCAGATTTGTCAATCATCTCTCGAACCACGTGGGAAGCTATTGGGAAGCCGCAGCTCTCCCCAGTTTCCATCGCTGTGAGAGACGCCCAAGCTAATCAGATTCCACTTGAGGGCGAACTTGAGTGCCGGATTAGCTTCCTGGGCAAAGAGATTAGCGGCCGGTGTCTCGTATCCAGCCACACCCGCACAAATCTCTTCGGCATCGAGTGGATAGAAGCTTTTGGACTCTGGGGCATTGCGCCAAATGCCTTCTGCAACGCTGTGGAGAAAGACCTGGACACTAGGCAGGCTGTTCAGGAGCTTCAGCGAGAATTTCCCACTGTCTTCAGCACAGAGATGGGCCTGTGCACAAAAGCATGTGCCACTATCCACCTCAAGAGCGATGCCACACCTGTCTTCCGCCCGAAGAGGCCAGTTGCCTTCCACGTGATGAGGACAATTGACGAGGAACTCGAACGTCTCCAGTCATCCGGAATCATATCACCGGTCGAGTTCTCATCTTGGGCAGCTCCAATTGTCGTGGCACGGAAGCCAAACGGCAAGATCCGAATCTGTGGGGATTATTCTACAGGACTCAACGAGGCAGTCGAGACGAATTGCTTCCCCATCCCGGATCCGGATAGCTTGTTCAGTAACTTCTCTGGCAAGCGATTCTTCAGCCACATTGATCTCTCCGACGCTTATCTGCAAATTCCCGTCGACGAAGAGTCTAGCAAGCTCCTCACAATCCACCCGCCTCGCGGATTGTTCCGCTTCAATCGACTCCCTCCTGGCATTCGTAGTGCTCCAGGAATTTTCGAGGAAATCGTCGAACGGATGCTCCAGGGAATCCCAGGTGTCATATCGTACTTTGATGACATCTGCGTGGCCAGCGCCAGCGCCGAGGAACATTTTTCCACACTTAGAGCTGTCTTCGCGCGCCTCCAGGAATACAATTTCCGAGTGAAGCTGGAAAAATGTAAGTTTTTCTCCTCTAACATCAAATTTCTCGGCGTAATTGCAGACGAAAAAGGCCTGAGCCCTGATCCTGGAAATATCGACGCTATCAAGGAGATGCCCGCGCCCAAGAATATTCACGAGCTTCGCAGTTTTCTTGGCGCCGTGCAGTTCTGGGGGAAATTCGTGCCGAACATGAGCGAAATTCGCGCCCCCATGGACCATCTCCTTAAGAAAGGCGTTCGATGGCGGTGGACGCGGGACTGTGCGAGTGCTTTTAGGCGTTTCAAGGAAATCTTGAGCTCCAACCTGCTCTTAACGCACTACGACCCGAATATGCCGATATTTGTTGCCTCCGATGCTTCTTCCCACGCAATTGGGTGTGTTGCGTATCATAAACTCCCGGATGGAAGTCTGAAGGCCTTCTATCATGCGTCCAGGAAGCTCACAGACACCGAATCTCGATACAGCCAGATCGAGAAAGAGGCTCTAGCGATCATCTTTGCAGTGAAGAAGTTCCACCGCTATATCTACGGGCGGAAATTCAACTTGATGACCGACCACAAGCCTCTTGTGTCCATCTTCGGCAGCAAAAACGGCATTCCTGTCCACACCGCAAATCGGCTGCAACGCTGGGCCCTCATCCTTCTCGGATACGACTTCGAGATTCAGTATATGCCCACGGACAAGTTTGGGCATGCTGATGTGCTCTCTCGACTCATCTCGGCGCAGAGGCGTGATCAGGATGATGAAGTAATCATCGCGCAGATCGAGTCAGAGGAGGCCCTGGACGATGCAGTCACTCGAGATGCAGCATCACAACTCCCGGTTGACTACATGATGATTAACCGCGCTTCTCAGACATCACGAACGCTCCAAGAAGTCGCAAAATACATCATCGGTGGATGGCCATCCACGGAGAAGGCCATAAAGTCCAGGGAAGTTGCGCAATATTATAAGATTCGTGATGCTCTCTCGTTAATAAAAGGTTGCGTATTTTACAGGGACAGACTGGTGATTCCTGAGGCATTCCGAGATAAAATCCTGAAGCAACTACACGGAGCTCACCCAGGCATGTCGCGCATGAAATCCTTGGCTCGAGGATATGTATTTTGGCCTGGCATTGACGGTCAAATTGAACAGCGTGTCCGGAACTGCCAGGAATGCGCCGCCGCCAGTAAATCCCCTGTAAAATCGCACCTTTCTTCATGGCCATTGGCGACAAGATTCTGGCAAAGAATCCATGTCGACTATGCCAAATATAAGACGGACTACTTTCTGCTCATCGTGGATGCCTTCTCAAAGTGGCCTGAGATCTTCAAGACATCAACGATGACCGCGAACGTGACCAAGGACAAACTGCGCGAGTGCTTCGCAAGACACGGCTTGCCGGAAACTCTTGTGAGCGACAACGGCACGCAGTTTACCAGCGAAACCTTCGGCGACTTCTGCAAGGAGCACGGCATTAACCATGTCCGCACGGCTCCCTACTGCCCTGCCAGTAACGGTCAAGCAGAGCGTTTTGTCGACACACTCAAACGGTCGCTGGAAAAGCAGAAAAACGTCCCTCTCGACACGGCCTTACAAAACTTCCTGGCGAACTATCGAGTGACGCCGAATGAGAATTCGCCGGAAGCAAAGTCCCCATACGAAGTGGTGTATGGTAAGAAGGGCCGCACAATCTTCGATCTTCTTAAGGAGCCTCAGCAGGAGCCAATCCGACGGAATGAGAAGATGGAAGAGGCTTACAACCGTCGTCATGGCACTCGAGCTCGCTCCTTTACGAGGGGGGAGGAGGTTTACGCCAAACTTTACGCTCAAGGTGGCGTAAAATTCAAATGGACATCTGGAGTAGTGATCGAGCGTCGAGGATCCGTTAACTACAACATCCGACTGGCCAATGGAACCCTTATTCGCTCTCACATCAATCAATTGAGACGTCGTCATTCCGGGGCGAATCAAACATCAGATTGTTTGCCACTGCCCACTACGTCTCGAGGATCTGGCCCTACTCCAGCCCCACTCCCGGCGCCGTCCACCCAATCGACGCCTGGCACACCAAACAGACCGATTACAATATCGCTGCCCTCCTCAACTGCCTCGGATCAACCATCACCGCCCGCACCATTGACACCAGACACGCCACCAGCTCCTGCTGCTCGTCCTGCGCCTGGAACACCTATTTATAGACGTCAGCGCAAGTCCATTGGAGTCCCAAGAAGGCTGGAGGATCTGTTTTAAGACGGCTCAGCGTCTTTTCCCTGGGGGGAGGTGTTAGATGGTGACCAGACCAACTGGGATGAACTGGGAACAGTTCACCCCCACTCCGCAACTCTTCTTCCTCAGAGTTGCCCAGTATTGGCTCTCGCCAATCTCTCCCTCTCTTAATTTTGTCACTTGGATTTTTACATTTGAACTCTGTGCATCTACTTAAAATTAATTGAAATAAACGCAGTGAACTAAAGTCACCTCGTGAGTTTAACTGTGGAAACGGCGACGAGAAGGGATTAACCAGAATCTTCAACTTTACTTCTTATTAAAGGTTAGTCCGCGATATAACATCCTATTAGAAATACGGACAACAATTGAGGAAAGTAGATTTTCTTTCCAGAACCACGAAAAATGGCGTAGAAAAACATCATTTATACAGATAAATTAAAGATTCTTGTGCTTCAAAGCATTTGGAGGTTAGAAATAAATATTTTCGGGTGTTTTTTTGTCCTCTGTGAGACTGAAAATCATGAAAAACTGGAAAAAATTTTAATCAAATCGATTGATATATCGAGGAATCGAGTTTTGACTGTGCTTAATCAATGTAACACATTTTTAACATTCCTTATTTGACTGGGAATCGCTCCAAATATCGTGTATTGCGACATTTCATGAAATTTGAGTATTTCACAGGAAACCTTCAGGAAATCTTCTAATATACGCTTTTCTGAGACTAATATTCTTTAAATCAAATGAACTCGTGTTACAATTGGCATAATTGAGGCTTTTTCAGGTGTTTCGGCGTCTCCACTTGCCGTGTGTCTCCGCTGAGCTTTGATAAGAGAAAAGAGAGCAGAGAGAGAGAGAGAGAGAGAGAGAGAGCGAGAGCACGTGAGATTTGACAGCGACTCTGTGTTTCTCGGCTCGCCCGCTTGGGGCGCCAAATTGCGAAATTGTTACATCATAAATTTGTTTTGGAGTCCAATTTTCACGGATTTTCGCCACAAAAATCCCACTTAATGTGATAAATTGCAAGACGAGTGGCCAGGAGACATCTTGTGCGTGCCCCAGTGAGTGAAAGTGTGCGGAAAAGCGGGTGGGAAGTGTGTGAAAAGGCTGCTCGAAGTTCGGGTGGAGAAATGTCAAATGATAAGAAGGTTAGAAGTGGCTCAAGAAGAAGAGAAATTTTCCTTTGCATTTTTTCCTCTGTGTCTTGTTTGTTAATTTTAGCCAACATTTTGCGTCTCAATTGGCTCTTGAACACACTTTTCCTCGATTGGCTGTCAGTTTGTGTTCTAATTGGGGCTTGTTTTTCTTTCTTTTTATTTCGCAGTTCCTCCCAAGAGTTTCACTGAATCCTTTAGCAAGGCTCGCGCGAGTGTTTTGAGGGACTCTCGCTCAAGGCCACATTTTCTCGCACATCCTAAGATTCTTCACTGTATTTATTTTGCGTTTTACTTGGTTGAGATTTTCTTGTCCTCTGTTGATATCTTTTGCTTGGTGGGGCCAGAAAAAGGGCCGAAAAAGCGCGCACTTTTCCGGGAAGATTCTGTTGAGAAAGTGACTTTTGGGGGAAATAAGAAAGGAGGCAAGAGAAGTAAAGTTAATGGCTGCTTATTTGAATCGCACACTATCGATGGTGACGGGAAATGGATCCATCTCGTCCTTTGACACATCGTCACTGGCGGAAACGCGGGGCCTGCACAACACGGCCAACGACGTCTCCCCGTTGCAGATCTTCGTGCGCGCCAAGAAGAAGATCAACGACATCTTCGGCGAGATCGAGGAATATGTTGTGGAGACGACCAGATTTGTCGACAGTGGTGAGTTGAATTGCCTCCCAAATCGGCCCCGGAAGTCACTCTCTTCTGACGCTCCTTTTGGGGGTGCTCTTGCAGATCAGCCCGGGGAGCTGGACATGATCGACAAGTACGAGAAGGAGGCCTTCAGCAGCTACGTGCACAAGGTGGCCGGGATCCGCGAGGTGCTGGCGCGCGATCACATGAAGGTGGCCTTCTTCGGGCGCACGTCCAACGGCAAGAGTTCGGTGATCAACGCCATGCTGAGGGAGAAAGTCCTGCCCAGCGGCATCGGACACACCACGAACTGCTTCTGCCAAGTCGAGGGCGTCGATGGACACGAGGCGTATCTGGTGAAGGAAGGATCTGAGGAGAAACTGAACGTCGTGGTGAGTGAATCGCTCATTAAAGTGCTAATTTTACTGTGAAATAATTCAACAAGTGAATAGAAAACTCTGATAAGTCGATTTTTCATATATTTTTGAATAGCTTTTTGTCTAAAAAAAAATTTTGTTGCAGCGTCAACTATGAAAAATCTTACTTTTTCCCAAGAAAACTGTCTTAAACTGCAGTATTTTGCAAAATTGCTTCTCTGATAAACATTCTAATTTCAGATTACTGGAATTTTCATCAAATATTTATTCGTAAAAGACTTTAAATGGGAAAATATGGAATATTTTTAATTTTCTTCAATGCAGAAGTTTGACAAAATCAATGAAAAGTATTAAAAATTGATTTCTTACAAATCGTTTGGTTAAAATGTACTCAAAATTTATTACAAATTGACTTTTAGATACCAATATTGTCTGTTTATCTATTAAATTTGCCATATTTTAGTCAAAATTCCAATAAATATCAATAAAATCAACTGAAATATTCACAAAATAATTATTATAGGACAAAAATTAACATTTTATTAAAGTTTTAACGAGTGTTTGAGTTAAAATTCGGCAAATTACTTTATAATTTTTTGAATTTGCAGTTGATTTTATTGGTATTTATTGGAATTTTAACTAAAATATTACAATTTACTTGATAAACTGAAAATATTAGTATTCAAAAGTCGATTTTTAATAGATTTTGAGTACATTTTGTCCAAACAACCTCTGAAAAATCAACTTTTCATACTTTATATCACCTTTTCTTTAATGTTTTGAAGCGAAAAATTAAAAGATGTGACAAATATTATATTTATTCTGAAACTAAGAGCATTTCAGGGAAATCTCGAATGAATTTTTCTTCGTTTCACCCGGCGAAGTTGATTATAATGGCTTATTAATTGATTATATCTTCTCTTTCAGTCGGTTCAACAGTTGGCGAACGCCTTGAGCCAGGAGAAGCTGAACGAATCCTCGCTGATACGGATCTTCTGGCCACGCGAGCGTTGCAGTCTTTTGCGCGACGACGTGGTGTTCATGGATTCGCCTGGCGTTGACGTGTCGCCGAATCTGGACGATTGGATTGACAATCACTGTCTCAATGCCGATGTTTTCGTGCTTGTCCTCAACGCAGAATCCACAATGACGATTGCTGTATGTTTTCCTGTGCAATTTTCCCTTTTCACTGTCTCAAATTGTTGCCTGTTTTTCCTCTGCAGGAGAAATCCTTTTTCCACGAAGTCTCTCAGCGACTATCAAAGCCCAACATCTTCATTCTCAACAATCGATGGGACGCTTCGGCGAATGAGCCTGAATTTCAAGAATCTGTAAGTCTATTGAGTTGTCTTTAATTGAAATCTCACGTTTCACTCATTATCAGACGTTTTTAAGGGGTTAAAATTATAACTTTCTCAATATTGCCATGACTAATTTGCGTTTGAATTCATCAACAAACATGTAGAGATAAGATTTTGATTAAAAATCTCAAGTTACAGTTGAGATAAGGAGGAGAGAAAATAGAGACTTAAATGAGGTATTTTTGTATAATTCCTAATGTGAAAAAAAGCCAAAGGAATTCCTTGAAAAGGTGAGAAGAGTTGAATTTGCTTTCGACGGCACTTCTAGTGTTCTAAAGAGTTCTTTAGAGTCGAAGAGAGGCGAGGAATTGTGGCGATAATCACGCAAATGAGTTTATTTTGGCTTCTCGGTGTATTTATTTATTCTTTAGAGGCCTTAAAGACAGTTAAAGTTGGGTTTATTTGGGGGCTTTTTGTAAAATTGATTGGTGCGCTTGTCGCGATGCAGGTGAAGGCGCAGCACACGGAGCGATGCACGGACTTCCTGACCAAAGAGCTGAAGGTGTCGCTGCCGAAGGAGGCGGAGGAGAGGGTGTTCTTCGTGTCGGCCAGGGAGACGCTGCAGGCGCGCCTGAAGGAGGCTCAGGGGCAGCCGGCGCACTTGGGCGCCATTGCGGAGGGCTTTCAGAATCGCTACTTTGAGTTCCAGGACTTTGAGCGGAAGTTCGAGGAGTGCATCTCGAAGAGTGCCGTGAAGACGAAATTCGAGCAGCACAGTCGCGGCGGGAAGCAAATTGCCAAGGACATGATCTCGATGCTGGACAACATCTACGACAGGGCGTCTTGTCTGAAGAATCAGAAGTTTGAGCATCGGCGGCTGCTGATTGAGCGCATCAACAGCACGGATCAGCAGCTGGCGCAGGTGACGCGCGAGATGAAGTCCAAGATCCACACGATGGTGGAGGAGGTGGAGCAGAAGGTGTCGAAGGCGCTGAACGAGGAGATCTGGCGCCTCGGCGTGCTCGTGGACGAATTCCCGCTGCCCTTCCACACCGATCCGGTGGTGATGAGCATCTACAAGCGCGAGATGAATGGGCATGTGGAGCAGGGATTGGGCTCCAATCTGCGCGCCAGACTCTCCACCGCCATGGCGATGCAGATGGAGACGGCGCAGCGCGAGATGACGGAGAAGATGCACTCACTGCTGCCCAGTGATGTATTGAGTCAGAAGCTGACGACTTATGCTGTGCGCCAGCAGCCCTTCGAGATGTTCTACACGCTCAATTGCCAGAACTTGTGCGCCGACTTCCAGGAGGATCTGGAGTTTCGCTTCTCCTGGGGCGTCACGGCGATCCTGCAGAGGATCAATAATCGCGCCAAAGACAAGAAGAGCGGCGACAAGACGCACATGATTACGCGCCAGAGCAGCCAATCGAGTGTGCCGCCAATGTTGTCACCGGTTGCCGATCAGCCGGACGGGGCGAACTGCATTGTGCCTTACGGGGGCGCCAGCATCACTCCCGAGCAGCTTTCTCTCCTCTCCAACATGGCCGTGGCCACGATGGGCTCGCACGGCACAGTCGGCGGCATCATCGTGTCTGGGCTGCTCTTCAAGGCCATCGGCTGGCGCGTCCTCGTCGGCATTGGCGTCCTGTACGGCTGTGTGTATCTCTACGAGCGCCTGTCGTACACGAACTCGGCCAGGAAGCGGCGCTTCAAGAGCCAATATGTGAAGCACGCGACGAAGAAGCTGAAACTTATCGTCGATCTCACGTCCGCCAACTGCAGTCATCAAGTTCAGCAGTGAGTATCACTCAGTTCACCCACTCTAAATGGGGGCTTTAGTGGCGAGCGAGCGAGCGAAAGGTCTTTAAATTTCAATTTTCGAGAGCATTAAATGGCCACAATGTTTGCAGACAATAATAATAATAATAATAATGAATAATTTTGCAGCCTCTGCAAATTTGCTGTGTCGTTAAGAAGTCATGACTAAGCATTTATATGAGCTCTAATGACTTTGGCTGTGATTAATGTTGCTTCGCAGAGTGGATAATGCAAATAAATCGAGCAGCACGAAAGTCCGCTCTATTTGTAATCGCACAACATATGAAATATCGCAAAATCGACTAAAATAGCATCGGGGAGGCTAAATATGACGAAATGTGACGAAAAAAGGGGGGGTCATTTTTTGGTAAATGTGCTTGTAGCGCTTAAAAAGTCATGAAGTTTTCACCGACAAACTTTTGATGTCAAATTCAACCCCTCCGTCCGCCATTTTGAACACATTCAAAACACATTTTACTCATTTGTTCAGCCCCTATGACATGGATTGGGCTCAAATTCTGATATGTTATAGCTGGTCTCAAGACCTTTCCAACGAACCGCCACTTAAGGACCTATGTCCTTAAGGACCCTAGGTATAAGGGTTCAAATTTCGAAACTTTAAATAGCCATAACTCCGCTTCTAATTACACAATTTGAATAATTTAAAGCTCTTTGGAAAGTTCTCAGGAAATGATTTCTCTCATTTAATCATCATAAGTTGATAAAACTACCACTAGGGGCGCTAAAGTCGAAATAACGAATTTTAAAAACTTAAAATCGACTTTCTGGGTAAAAACGTTTAGCATTTTCTTTAAATTTTACTATGTTGTTGCTTAGATCAAGACCTTTTTGATGAGATTTCAGTATGTTGTAGTCCACGTCAGGACGTCTCTAACAATAAGTCATAACTTTTCACCGCTGCAAAAGGACCTGAATTATGACAGTTCAAAGTTTTGATTTTGAAATCGCTCAAACTCAAACTTAACTCTAACTCGGAAAGATTTAGCAAAACTCTACAACTATTAAAAAAAAAAGAGAGAAATTTGTTCGATTTCCGCTTAAGGCTATAAAGTCAAGATTAATGTTTGCAAAATTTAAAAATCAAGCATTTTGATAATCCGAAAAAAGGGTTAAACTCTTTCTATCACAGCCATAGAATCCGAGTTAATGTGGTAGATGATGATTTAATATGTCATGAGTTGTGGCGATTTGAAATTTAAGCGTTCACTTATCACGTCCTTTTGCCTTCTTTGCCAGGGAATTGACCAGCACGTTTGCCCGACTGTGTCGCACTGTTGACGCTGCGTCGTCTGACATGAACGAAGACTTGCGCTCCGTCGAGGCGCTCCTCAATCAACTGGAGGCGAATCAGAAGCAAATGAAGCTACTCCGCAATAAGGCCAATTACATCACGAATGAATTGGAAATCTTCGAGAACAACTACATCAAGTCCAACTGAGCGGCGGCGGCAAATCGATTGCGAGAGAGACTCAAATATGTTTAGGTAATCAATTTGGAAGCTTCTTTTACCGTCAAAAAAAAATAAGCACGAATGAAAAATTGTTAAATCCAGTCGAGAATGTGCGATAAATTGTAAAAAAGAACACTTTTATTGCAGAGAAGAGAAGATAATGTTCCAATTTTAGGCAGAATTCATGTGATTTCATGTCAAAAAAAACCTTGAATTTCTGCAGCAAAGCAGCTTAGAGATTGGACAGATTGGTTGAATTGATATTCAGATGATTAGAAATTGTAGATAAAATTCCCATGTTAGAATTGTATAAGAAAAAAATCTCTAAATTAAACGTATAATAGAAAATACACGCACAATTTGCATTGTGATTCATCGAAAAACGGCAGTCCTTCACACATATTTCGCAATATTTACCCCACTTAAATATTATTTCCTCTTCGGCCGAAACAGATAAATTTGTGAGGTAATTGAAAGCAGTTCCGATGAAGTGACAAAATCACCGCGCGCGCGTTCAGTGAAATGCCTTCGATTTATTGCATCACTCGACGAGAGACGCGAGCAAAAGCTCAACTTGGCGGCGGTGAACCTGAAGCGCCGAGAGTCGCAGTGTTTGAAAATGTATTAAGAGAGAGGCGTCAAAAGACAAATCAATCATGAGTCACAATCATGATTGACTGTTGATAGATTTGATCAAATATAGAAGCATAAAGTGTGAAATTCCATGTGCAAACATAGGAAAAATGGTTTCACACACCGACTTTTTGTCGCGCCGGCTGTGAAAAGTGTCCAAAAAATCCGCATGCGAATGGAATTCTTCAAGTCTGACGCCTTGACGTGACTCCAATATATTACGATAGTCAATTGAGCGATTGCAGCAGCGCGAAAAACTCTCCGTCGCTCACTGCCTTGGGTCAAGTTCTCGCAGACTTGATCGGGAAATGACTGGATTTTCGTCTTTCTGCGAATTTCCCTTCACTCTATCGCTCGTCTAAAGGCTTTAATGTATTTGCGTGCTTAGCAGGAAATTAAAGTATGTGGAATTTCTGCTTAATCTCTCCGAGTTTTGTGACTCAATTATGGAATTTTGATGGAAATCTGATAGAATCAATGATGATAACGAGGCCTGAAAGAACACATGAAGATGTCCAAAGCTAGAGAATGTGAAGGGATTCGAGCAACTTCAATTTGTCCTTCAATTAGAATATAAATTGCTGCATTATCATATCATAGTAGCATGAATAATGTGAGTAAATTTCTGCAAAGCTTTCGCCCAACTGTCTTCAAGTTTGTGCCACTAAAAGCCCACAGCAAGAATGAAAGGTGAGAAGCAAAAAGTGCTAAAAAATCATGCAAATATGGAAATAACAAGTCGTTGCAACTTTGATTTCATAACATTTTAAATAAACTGTTGAAAATATGAATTCATAAAAAGGCGTTGGAAGATTTGTGATTCAAAATATTTACAAAAGTAAAGAATTTTGATCTTTTAATTCATATATTTCGTCGCGTGCAGACAAGAAGAGCCGGAAAATTCACATGAAAAGCAATTAAATTGAGAGCAATAATGTTTTTAGGCTTGTTTTTGGGTTATTGACCACAAATTGGTTGGATTTTCGGGGTTTTTTGTGCACATTTCAGTGCAACAGATTGAGGGTATATTATTCCGGACATCTTTCGACCTGTTCAAGGAAATTTATTGACTTTCCAGAGCAAATTTTAGCAACAGAAAACATCTGTGCCTTAATTTCACAGCAAAAACATCTTCCTGGACATTCTGGTCAGCAGAATCCTTCGAGAATCTCGTATTAAATACGCTCAATGTCAGGGAGCGTCGCCTTTTGCCCTGTTGAATTCATTCTCCGCGTTGAAAACATCCTGGAAGCTTATTGATATTAGTTTGAAGAACATTTCCTTGCTTTCACGCGGAGGAAAATGGCCAGAAACTGGGCTCAAGTTGGAATATTCTGCCCTGCAACGCCTTCTCGTTTGCATTTAATATTGATTGCCGCCAAAGTTGCATCGTCAATTTGTAATTTTTACAATCTGAAGTACGAAAAAATGGGTAAAGTTGCAACGATCCTTGAGTTTGACTTATCGCTAATTGTGTGTGTGAGAAGAATTTGCGGCTCAGCCACTCAATCAATCGATCAATTACTGTGCGTTTGTTGTTTTACGGAATGAAATTAACCCATTCGGTCGCACGTGACTTATCATCGTGGGATTTCACTTAGATAGTAACAGTAAATTTTCCTCACTCTATCTCTGCATTATTGGTTGATAATTGAAATTGACTGGCAAATTGTCTTGGCGCGCTGACGAGGCACATTTTTGCAGCATATTCGTTGATTTATTTGGGCAATTAGCGCAGATAAAGCGCTATCATGGCCCAGTGTCTTGTGTGGGAGATTTGGCCACATGATTTGCCATTTGCCTAATCAATCTCCCCATTCCTCACCTCTGCTCGCACTTTCCTTTCCTCCACCATCAATCCTCCTGGGCGAAGAGAGAGTCTGAAGCTGCGGCGCGTGCAGAGAAGAAGCATTGAAAATTGATGTGTTATTTTCCTCCTTTTTGTCCCGCTTTTTGTGGGGTGAAATAAAAGGCACTCAAGTGACAATAAATAGGGAAGTTATACATTTAATATTCTTAAATTATATACACGTTACGTATAAGTTGTCAATTAATTCTTTGAACTCTTTTTTCTGTTACAATTGTTCCATTTATAAAAATTCACACGCAGATGCGAATTTCTAAGTAGTTTAAACGTTGGTTTTCTTGTTTTGTGATTCAAAAATGTGCCTAGCTTTTTCCTCCTTGTGCCTTTTTTTGTGTCGAAGCCTCTCGAGAGATTCACTCCTCATTCTGCAAGGAAAGCGGATGGGGTTTAGTGGGGGGTTTTGTATCGTGCGTGATGAGCAGGGAGACTCACGAGTAAGGGATACACGAACGTGGTGACGGCGTCTTTGGCGAGGGCGTTTCGGGAGACACAGGTGAAGCCGCCCATGTCGCTCCACTTGAGATTGGTGATGACGAGCTCTCCCGTGGGGAGCACCCGGTAGCGCGGCTCCTGGCCGCTGATGAGGCTGTCGTTGCCGTCGAGCCAGTAGATGTCGGGCCGCGGGCGGCCGATTGTGTTGCAGGGCAGCACGATGTCGGAGCCCATGAGCTCCAGCAGGACAGTGTAGTAGAGCACGATGCGGGGCTTCTGGGCGCCGCCGCCGGGGCTCAGCAGGGTGCTGATCATGTCCGACGTGAGGTTGTGCTTCGGCCGGCCGTGGTGCGGCGCCGCGACCACCGTGGTGGTGGCGAAGGCCGTCTGGCCGCCCGACCGACCCACGCAAGTGTACGTCCGCTCCGTGGGGGCGGCGTGCTCCAGCACGAGACGCGACCGGACACGTGCCAGCGCGCTGGGGCTCGCCTCCGACACCACGTTCGTCTCCATCTCGTTGAGCTGCAAGACAGAGAGAGAAGAGAGCTCGTTCAATTGCCTCTCGCTCACCAAACACGAGACGCGCCAACATCAGCAATTGATTTCAATTGGCAGTGAAGAGAGAAATCCCCAGAATTATTGACGTCAGAGGCCCCTTTTTTGCGCCCATGACCAGACAAAGAAAGGTCTTCTGAGCGTGTCTTCTGGGAAATCATTGACTTTTGCATGCGCGAACTATTTTCGGACCATTGGGAATCTATCTAATCTCTTCCCAGCGGAAGACACTATCACTCGTCTTCATTAATTAGCACTTTCCCAGAATGGAATCGTGTTGTTTTTTGGCAATTACAATATTGTTCTAACGAATCATTCCCTCCAAAATACTCTCTTCCCACCATTTTTTTTTCAGGAGTTTTTGACGCTCTTTTCCCAGAAAAGTCAGCGGGTGTGTGTGATATCATGAGACGCCCAAAAGCTGCCTTTTGGCACTTTCTCAAGGTTTCTAAACATGGAAAATTCCCATAACACCCAAACACATAGCGGATGTGCACGACCTGCTGAATTGGCAAGGTGTCCTCTTAACTTAAGAGACAATGGGGGAGATAATAAGATGCAAAAGTATTCCTTTCTTTCATGCTCTTCTCCTAACAATATTGTCCCCATTCTTTGGATCAAAAACCACCATATTAATCCTTTTTGTAGGTTATGTAACGAAGCAAGGACAAATTTAGTGAATAATTCACATTCTAGCGTATCTCTTAAGCTCAAATGGAGGAGATCGCCATCTTTTGGTGCCAAGAAACATTGATTTGGACTCGGAAATGTTTATTTAGAAAACTTTCTGGACGATTTTAAATCCATTGGAATATCACAAGAGACGATTTTGTGATCTGTAAAGTTTACAAACGGAGTCTTTTGAGGATCTTTTAGTGATATTTTGAGGTTATGGTGGGAAAACACCCCAAAAAATCGATTTAAATGAATTCTTACAGAAATATCGGATGGAAACTTAATACAACATAATCTTTTCCTTTAATTGGACTCCTTTGATGCCTAGAAATAGTGTAAATTGTGCTAAAATCGTACATAACCTCAAAAATAGTCATTTGGACTTGGAAAATGTTGCTTTTGTTAACTTTCTGGGCCATTTTGACTCTGAATCTGATGATTTTGGGGTCTAGAAGGCTTCTAAACTAAGTCTTTTGAAGATCTCTGAGTGATATTTTGAGGTTATGGTGGGAAAGGACACCCTTGGAAGGGCTGAGAAACAGTGTAGAGATTTGGGACATAATTGAGGCTCCCTCTTAAGCTGAGAGCTTGCGCCAGTACTCACCAGATTGAGCGGCGTGCTGCCTCGCACCCAGTGAATGGTCGGCGGCGGCGATCCTGCGACCTCGCACTCCAGCTCCACCGTGGCGCCGGGCTCATGGGTGACCCGCGCGGCCGGCGCCGCCGTCACCTTCACCCAATCCTGCGCCTCGACGAACTTGCCCGAGTCGCCGGACTGCAGTGAGTTGCTGGGCTCGCTGAGGCTCCGGCCATTGGCGAGGCCGCACACCAGAAAAATCCCAATCGCGAACAGGAGCGATGAACTCATTTCCTACGGATGGGAGATAATTTTTTCTGCTCATTCAATTGTCTTTGGAGTGAATTGTTGGGCCTGTGCGTTCACGCGAGATGTTTATACTCGGGCGCGCAGACCTTATCGTGTGACTTCTTGTTTTGCGAAAATTATTTAATAATATCAAGTGAAAGAAGATGCTCGTACGACGTGAGCATCACTTTTTGCCCGATTGTGTTTATAAATATTGAGCGGAGCGCTCCTCTTTCCGGCGGTCAGCTCCACGATGATAGTGGCTGACAGATGTTGTGTGATTGGCCCAGAGTGGAATCAAAAGAGGTCACACTGCCTGGACGTCATCTGGGCAGAGAGTGAGAGATTGTCTATTTTTGTTCCCGAATCTCCGCCTTTATCAGCCTTTTCTCTGAGGATTTTCATTGAGCAGAGCGCGGCGCAGCGGCGGCCGTGGATTGTGAATTGTGGATCTCTGTGGAGGCTTGTCTCTAAGGCGGCAACAGTCTCCGCACATTCACGGGGAAATGAACCCACGAGATTCTGCAGCAAGTATGGAAATTGGCAATTTACCGATCATGCGACATCTGTGATTGATTGAAACGGCCCCAGTTCCGCCGGACTCGCGCGCGCAAGACGCGTCTATCATGTCGTATCATCTCGCCGATGCGTGGGAATTCACGTGAGATTATCGTGAGAGCCCCACTTGCGGCTGCCCCGCAGCACGAATGGCGATCGGGACGTGCGGTGCTGAGGCCTCAGCATTGCCACATTGTATCACGTGTCGGCAAATTGACTAAAAATTGCCCTCAAGTATTTGTGCGCGATGAGCATTTCTGCCACACAAAATAATTCGCGAGACGGAATGCCGCGAGATCGATTAGCGCACTTTTGAAAGTGTTTCGCCTTTCATTCGATTCTCCGCGGGACCGGAAGTTCAAGTGCTAGATTTTTTCCTCCTCCTCTTCATCATCATCTTCTCCCAATTCCGCGAACGTTGCGCACATTTTGTGACGCGTAAGAAGAAGAAGTGTTTGGGGGAAAAAAGTTAGCAATTGCGACGCGACTGAAAATTCACACAAGTTCTTAAGTTAAGAGACTCACCATCACTCTCACAAGTTCAAGCGACAAGATTATCCCTTGAACACCCGATCAATGAGACAACTCCTTGGCAGATGGAACAACTGTTCCTCCTCTTCCTTGTCGCGTCCTTCTTTTCCTCCACCCGGCAAGTGCGCGCGTTGTGCAGAAACAGGGACGAAAGGCGGGACACGAGCGCGGATCCCAGGCGAAAAAGGGGTGTTATGTCACAAAATTCACACAGTTCCGACAATCGTCAAGTTCAACAGTGGCTCTAATGCAATTTCGCGTGCAGATTGAAGCAGTTTTTTGCATCAACATATGTCTTGTAGTCTTCAACTCGGCTCACTATTTCAAGTGATCCTTCCTTCGCTCCAATTCGAGACTTCTTTTCTCCCACTTGTATAATTTATCTTCCACTGCTGCACGCTATTTTTGCCACTCTCTCAGACTCCTCCAAATTCCTCCAAATCTCACCACCACCACTTAACTCACGAGCGCGCGATTCCTGATCAATCTCTCACTTGGCCAATCATTGGGCAACAGAAGTTACTTTTATTTCTCGAGCAATTATACACGGGATTTTTATGCAATAAAATGACTCTTGTAATCAAATTCAGCTCTATCACAAACTCTGACTCTGATACACTCTGGAGCGCTAAAGTGCAATTTAATTTGCAGACTGATTACTCTGCATAAGTGGAAAAATTCACGGAGGAAAAAAATTTGTAGACTTTTTCGCTACTTTGCACGTTTTTTTCGACGAATACTTTTCTTTTATTTTCTTCACCACAGCGCGACTGAATTCTCTCCTCTCACAACGAGACTGTGATGACGATTTAGCTGAGCGACGGTCAGAGACTAAGTGAATGAAACGGCTTCGATTTATTATTTATATTCGCCTCGCCATGGCACTGATAAAGATACAATAAGTGTTGATGTGTGATTTTCAATATTAATGGCGCGCAAATGTGTGTGCGTGACTGTCGAGAAAAATTCACGATAATTATAAGAGTATCACTTCTTTCACAGCTCTTATTTCTCTCACTCGCGCGACTCTCGTGTTCTTCTCTTTTCTGTCTCTCTGACTGTCTGAATCATGGCAAGAATTGCACGGGAACAGCACTTTGCCGGCCAAAAAAGCCTTGCTTTCGGTTGCAAAAATTGCACATTGCGCACGTGAAATTCCATCAAATTCCCACTTTTCCCTCAGCTTTCAAAGGACGCGAAGGAGTTGTGTGAAAATGGTAGAGTTTTTTCCTTTCAAATCTCCTCGCCTAAATTGTTGGCAGATAAATCTCGTGAAGTCTGCGTGATTGGCAGTATGGAAAATTTGTGGATCGTCAATGTCAAGGCTTTTTACTCACGAAAAGAATACACACTTGATATTTTTACTCTCCTTGCTGTCGTGCTTATCGTCACGACTCCAAAAACTGTCCCTCAACGTCGCGAGATACGCAGCAATATCTCTGGGACAATGGCACATCTGATTAGCTTCTGGGGCCTCAATTCAAAAACCCATTCAAATACAAACCACCGCATCAGAATTCCACATTTTGACTGGCGCAATCATATGGGGGAAAAAAGGGGTAAAACTTAAGAGACAAAGTGCTGAAAATGAGGTGCGAAGCGACGACAGTGCGACACAGAAAGAAGGAGTCTCAGCAACTCACATGGATGTCTTACATCAGCCAATTGTCGATGGTCTCGATCATGATCGCCGGGCATCATGAAATATTGACTGTGCTGAATTGATTTATTTATAAATTCAAATCCTATGCACATCTAATTTTGACTCTTGTCGAGACACTTGGAGAGATTGTCCGTGGCTGAATCTCAATTTCCTGGCTCACGGTACGAAATGTCGCGCGGGAGACAGATTGGATTTACAAGTCAATTGATGAGGAGGAATTTTTCTTAAACTCTCTGCCAAAATGAAATATTCATGCGAAGAACGGAAAGACGCCATTTCTCGATCCGATGTCTGGGGTGGAAAGTAGATCTCTCATTCCTCAAAGAATACTTCATCGCGTTGTGGCTTCAAAAAAAATCCCCCAAGGGGAAGATAATACGGCTAAACTGTGTACACCACTTTCAGAACCAATTTTCCAACTTTTTTGGGATCATAACCTCAAATTTAGGAGGAAAAGACGCCATTTTTAAAAGTATTTTTAAAATATTTGACGTTTCCAGCGGATATTTTTATGTCAATCAACTTTCAATCACTCTTTTAGATGCGCTTTGCAACATAACCTAAAAATTGTTTTGAGATATTGAAAAGAATAACTAAAAAAATCTTATTCGGAATCTTTTAAAGACATAGCTAATCGACAAAAAACTGCTATTTGCTATTTCAGAGCAGAAAATTAATCAAACAGCTCTTGAAATACACAAATTTTTATTATACAACAATATTTTAGAGGTTATGATCAATCTTAGTGCAATTAAAACTGTTTAACATTGAACGCTTCATCAGATAAGATTTCATTTACTATTACTGTGAAATTATATCAGCTTAGATGCAAGAATTAATGATTTTGAAGGTTATTTAGTGGCAAAATTTGTCTTAAATTAATCACATAACCTAGAAGGATGCAAAGTACAATTCTTTTTCTCCAAGTATCTCTCTAAATTCCTTTAGAAAGTGACTTTTCAACGTACCATATTGCAAACATTCACGCACTGCAACTTCCAAATACTTCCATTGAAATGTACACCACTTCTCACCACAATATCTCCCCCTTGAGAAAAACTACGCAATACTTAATCACTAAAAAGTGAGATGATTTTGCTTAACAAGTTTATCAGACTTGATCTACGGCTTCCATCGCCAAAACTCTGCCCCGTGATTGAGTGTCTGAATTGAATGTTTGGATGCTTGAAAAATTCAGTTCTGGCGGGTGTTGACCAGTGTGAAACCTGCTCGATTGATCGCGAGATGTTTAGTGAATCATGATTCGAGTAGCCTTACCTGACGTCGTGGCGACAAAGCTGATGAAACTCCTTAGGAACAAGAGTCTATTTTCGGGTGATCACTTTGACCGTCACCAGATGCTCAATTTTTTCTTTGTCCACCTCATCTCGCGTCCGTCTAGTCGCACTCCCTTTTGAGCAGCCCAAGAAAGACGCGCACAGAGAGGAGCGATTTTCTGACACTCTGCCAGGAGATATTGGCTTCGCAGTGTCTGGCTTGAATTGCGATCTCAAGTGATTTTTCATGCGCTTAAAATTCTATTGATGTGTCTCTCCCCGTGTCATTGAGACAGCACACAGATTCGCCGGGAGAGACTAAAAGGCACCAGTCGTGTCTTCAACTCAATCCGTCACGATTTTCGCTGAGGGACGCACAATTTTTGCGCGACTTTGCCAAGAGAGAGAGAGAATCACGCCCACGAGTTGCACACACTTCGACAATCTTCCACGTCACGTGAAGAGAAAAAGAACAGAATCCCAAACTCACCTTCGCTTCCACAGATGGACTTTTCGAGTGGATTGTGAGGAAACGGAGAAAAATCCCCACACGCAACTGAAGAGGCGGAAAAATGAAAGCAAAAAACGTGGAAAGTGCCGGAAAATGGTCTCGGGAAAGGTGTCTGTTGGGCAACTTGAGCACAACCACTGGCACTTGGCGTGGTGCGAGCTGGACACTGAGAAAAGAACTTCCTCCGCTGGTGGAAAGCTCGACTCCTTTTATACGCACGACGACGGCGATTCTCGCCCAGGAGTCGATTGGAATCGAGTCGATTGCTTGCTTCTGCAGATGCTGCGAATTATGGCCAGTCGGACGGCCGCTCACATTGTCCAATTGGCATCCCACATCGCGCGCGGGATCTATGTGTTCGTGGTAAGGGTAGGAGTCGCCCGCGAGACAGCAACTTTGCATCGCTTGCTCAGTCGCCCGGTGAAAAATCGTGGCGAATATTGAATGATGGAAATGTGCAGTCATTTGTCTTGCACTTTGTCACTTGACTTTTATCAAACTGTCTGTCCGTTGAACAGTTGCCGGAGAAAAAGTGTGAACAACCATGAAATACTTGGAAGACATTAAGCTGCTAATATTTAATAGTCGCGCGAGAGTTATGCGGAAATTTCACCTGATTCACAAAGCCAAGGGGGAGACACTATGATCAGAAGTGATGTACGGCTTCTGAGGATGTGTTAGGAATTGAAACAGCTTCTGTTTCAACAAATTTGAGCATTTTCTAAACAATTTTAATTAGAAAAATCAATTTTATCGATTTTTCTAGGTTATGTAATTGATTTAAAACCGATTCTGATGTTTAAAAAACTCTCACAATTATCAAATTTGTTTTTAATCTGGGAATAATTCACATTTTCTTAGTAGAATTGGACATTTACGTTCGATAAAACTTCATACTGGTTAGAAAACAGCTTTAAAGTCAATCATAACCTCAAAAATGTTCTTTTAGGCTAGAAAAATGTCACTTTTCTTAGTTATTTCCGTAGTATGTGCCTTAAAAAGACAAATTGAACTATATTTACTTATTTCTATGTTTGAAAGGATTAAAATTAGTCAAAGATAGATGTTTAAACCTGATTCATAACCTCACAATTTAAGACAAAACTAGAAAATCAAGATAGAAATTGTTCATGAACAAATCCTAATGTATTAAGATCAATTCATACAATCTGATATTTAAGCATTTGCTGAGCTTAAACTTGTTGAGACGAAAAAACCTGCATTAGATTGTAATTACAGTCAGAAATTAGTGTAAGAGACAGTTGAACATGCCTTTAAAGACGTTCCGAAGTGTATGAAATGTTTAAGATTCTGCACAGTGACTGTGGAAGTGTCAGAAAGTGGTGTACAGATTTAAAGCACAACATCTTTCCCTTGTTATAAACTAATGTCTTTAATTTATCATTCTACTGCCGTTACTATTATTGAGATTCGCCTATAACGTGAAATCGTGCAATGTTAAGACATCATCTATGGGATCTATAACTGAATGACACAATTTGTGACTCGCGACATAAATTGAGTCCATGTGAAGATTGTCACGATGCTCTGAGTGTGCCGATGAAATGGAAAATCCACACATAACTTGAGATGTCGCAATTCGCATTTGTCCCAAAGTGAAGTTTCTTTTTTTTTCTATATGGAAAAATTTAGCCACGCCACGGTTTTTCCGGTGCTTTTCGTGAGCTCATGCTGAGTGTCACGTAGGCTCCTCGCAGTCTGAGCGACTAGCAGCATCAATCAATGTCTCAATTATTAACGACATTCCAATGCATCAATTAACACTTCGTGGAATTCAAACTGCATCTCCTTCTCGCTCTCCCTTGTCAATTGCATGGGAGCAAATTGAGGCTTTTTTTCCATCTCCATGCGTCTCGTCGTTTATCAATTTTCTTATGTGTGACGATCTTTTTAGTCACTCTAGCAGATTTGCGTAACATTGGCAGGAAATTGCATTGGAAGTCTTCAGAAATTTTCCGCAGAAGCCAGAGGAAATTTTCCCTTCTGAGAATTTCATGAAGAATGATTTCTCTCGAGAATTTTGATCTGGAGTAAATTTCTGATACACAAAATATTAAAGCTGTCTTCAGCAAAATGAGCACAAAAGCTTTCTGGGAAACTTCCGCGCGATAATCCGAGCTCCCAGAAAACCCCCAAGCGTGTGATGAGCATCTCAATCGGGTCGCCGCAACGCGATTTCTGCCACCAGCACCCCAATTGAAGAGAATATTCGATTATTAAATTAATTATTGTGTTTGATTAGACTGTTTATGTCGCCACCCCCGCACGGCGTCCCACCCACGACGTATTGGACAAAAACACGCCACCCTCGCGCCAAATATGCGGACATCTCGCATTTATCCGGATGCCAAGGTGTGTAAAGGTCTGAAATTTGCGAAATTTGCGTGGTTGAGTTATTGGAAATGCGACGAAATTCACGCATAATCAATTCCAGTGCGAAGTCTGGAGGGAAATTTTCAGTTCCTGAAGGTATTTTTAGCTTGAAGGTCTTCTGAGTTTTTTGCTCTATCAATCTTCTATTTGTCTCGGGCTTTTCATCGTCCATGGAATGCACGCGAGTACAGATGATGAATTGGAAATAAGCTTTTTGACCTGTTTTCCTCATGTGAAGTCGTACAAAAATCTTCATTTCCTGCGTCGCTCCACTTCGCTTGTCTCCTCATTTAAGGACTCCCTGGCAAAAAAAATAAACTGAATCCGTAGAAAGTCAATCGAAATTAAACTACAGACTGATGAGAGTGAGTTAAAATCAATGGCGTATCTTTTGTAAGAAAGAAATTGTCGTTTTTTTCAAAAAGCTTTCAATTTGCATTAAAGTTATCGACAAACGAATTATCGATAATGAATTTTAACACAATTTTAGGGGAAAATAGTTACAATCGAGTATCTAAGGAGTAATCAGTGAATATCAGTCCTATTTCCCCCCTAAAATTGTGATAAAAGAGTAAATTTTAAGCATTATCTGTCGATAAGTGTCGGAAAAGTTCAATAACTTACCGACATTTCAACATTGTTGGATAAATTTCTTTAAATTCGGAATTTTCACTAGATAATATTATATGGCCAAAACATACAAAAAGAGTGTTTCTCAAAGTGCAAAGCCAGAGTTCCTGCCTGAATATTAGAAGAAAATTTGAAGTGTTCGAAGAACAACATCAGAAATGTGACTTAAACCAACTTAGGGCGTTAGCACACCTGTTTTTATTCTCGTTGAAAATGGAAATAGTCCATAATTTTACTATTTATTTCTTGAAATTAAAAAGATATTTTTTTTTCTATTTCAGACTTCTCTGTGAAGCAAATCATGCTAAAATAAAGAGTTTTTTTTTACGATTTTCAACACGATTGGGGTTGAGATCTTGAATTCGGTAAAACCAGGGGTGTTAACAAAGTAAAAACTGTAAAATTATCTAAAATATGATCGCATATATGTATAAATATGATATGTACAGTGCAAAATATCAAGTATTTTACGTTTCTTACCTTGTTAACAGACTGGAAACCTAAGATAAAGAAGGCAAATCAGAGAGTTTCCTCTCAAACATTCCTGGTGTGATAAGTGCCTTATAGTGCTGCAAAATGCAATTTCTGCTAAGTTAAGAGTCGCGGGGCTTTCGCGGCGTGGCAGAATCCGTTGGCGTTTGAAGTGCGCGAGCTTTGAGCACTTGACGAAACGTCGCTCGGTGTGAGCCTGAAAACGCTGCCACGATTCCACGGATGCTGTCACTTAAGCTCGCAACCATAACCTGCAAACCGTGTGCCCGTCGATGAGAGAGTGGAGAGGAAAGTGAGAGAAAAGACCTAGGATTGGGGGTGTTTTACTGACTTGGCCGCAATGTAAGTAACTGAGAATATCACTAAATATCCTTGCATGCTGCTGTAGGTGCAATTGGGGCGATTGCTGGCGCGCCAAGGGTGGCCATTTCATGGATTTTGCGTCACGATCGCGCTCTTGAGTTAATTGATTACGTAATTTAGTGAGAATTTTGAGAATTCCCCGACAATCCGGCCACTCTCTCTCTCTCTGATCCCTGTCCAGAGACCTGCCACAAGGATATCCCAGGACAGCCCGCGATTGGGGCGCCGCGAGAAGTGTGTCAAGGCGGGGACATTGGCGGCGGTGTTGCGCGTGAGCCCCAGAAATTACGCATTTTTTTCTCTGGCAGCCTTTTTGCGGCACACGATCTCGCCCCAGTGTCGCCTTGAAAATTCCATCGCGATCTTGTGCGTGTGATTTTCCCCACCCAAAAAACCGTGTGTGTTGCCACGGAAAGTTTTCTCTCGCTGGGAAACTTCCTTTGCGATCCCCGCCAACGAAATTGCAGAGCGTGTGCTCTCTCGGTGGCCTTTTCCGGGGCGCGCACGGGAATGGCGAGCAGGAGAGGCGCTGACGAGCGAGACAACCACGATGGCCAGAGCGGGACGGCGGCCCGGGTGTGAGGAGCGAGAAGGAATGAGGAGGCGAAGAGAGACGAGTGAAAAAAAATTCGTGGACTTTTCGTATAAACAGAAGAGCATAGCTGAGTTCACGTATGAATTTTTTATACACTGCCGATCTTCTTTTTTTCCTCTTCTCTTTTTCTCGAAATTCCTCACTCGAAAATGTTCCCAGGCATTCCGATGCGATAGTGAGTTTCATTCTGAAAGTTCGAGACACTCGATCTCACCGCGCTAAAGCTGTGTTTGTGCTTTTCTCCTTCACCTCTCCTCACCTCTCCACCTGTGTACCCGCGCGATCGTGGAACAGAACGCATCTCGCGCTGGCCGCGGTGGAACAAGAGGAAGAGATCACCGTAAGAGAAAGAAGGAATATTTTTGCCAAAATGCAAAAAGAGAGGAAAAAAGGCCACAAAAGAGGCGATCAAGCCAGGCCTGAGAAGTGTGTGTGTTTTGTACGGTGGAAAAAGACGCGAGAAAAAATATTGAGAAACAGTGATTAATTGCAAAAGTGAGAGATAATTAAATTCTCACTTGTGAGCCGCGCGAGAGGCCTGAAAAGATCTCTCTCTGCTCGGCAGTGGAAATCTTCTGAGAGGCGCTCGAAAAATAGTATATTGTGAAATTTTTCAATGTTCCAATATTGCTGCATTCCAGAGTCTCTCGATCAACTCCTTGCCTATTCTTCGAGTGGCATCGACCTCTTTCTTCCATGTTCTTTGCCCTTTTTTCCTCTTTCGCGCTCTCTTCGGCATTTCTTCAAATCATTTTCAATCACCTTAATGAATAAATTCAATGGATCTCATGGCGATATTGATGCTCAAGAGCACAGTTTTTTTTTTTCACTCCCTCTTCTTCAAACCCATCCACACACACATCATCTGGCCAGGCCATTTTCTCCACCAGCTCTGCATATGGCGACGAAATCAGGAAGGAAGTCCGTAATTGAGGTGCAAAGAGAGCGAGACAGAGAGAGCGGAAAAAAGGAAAATTGCAATTCCTGTTATTAT